GCATGGGTTTTATAAATTTGGGAATATTTTGTCACAAAACATAATAAAATATGGGGTCCTTTATGAAAATACTTGGTAAATCTTTATTATAAAAAAAATTTATGTCCTTAAATTTTATTGTAACAAAAAATTATAACCAAATTTTAATTTGGAAAACGTAAATTATGATAAAGTATTGTAAATTTATTTTAGTTATGATAAAGTATTGTAAATTTATTTAAGGAAATAAATATAAATTTACTTAAAGAAATATTTTGTAAAAAATTTTGTTATGATTAATTTAAATTTAAAATAGAAAATTCCTATAGAAATTTGTCATGTTATATTTTTGTTTAGCCATGTTATATTTCTTTTTTGGGAGAGTGATTGTGGAGATGACACATAAGCAAAATCTCACAAATCACTTCCCAAATAATATATAAATGATGGTTAGCTATAATTTTTAAGGTAAATTATGATAAAGTATTGTAAATTTCATTAAGTTATGATAAAGTATTGTAAATTTATTTAAGGAAATAAATATAAATTTACTTAAAGAACTATTTTGTAAAAGATTTTGTTATGATTAATTTAAAATAGAAATTTCCTATAGAAATTTGTCATGTCATATTTTTGTTTAGCCATGTTATATTTCTTTTTTGGAGAGTGATTGTGGAGATGACACATAAGCAAATTCTCATAAATCACTTTCCAAATAATATATAAGTGACGGTTAGCTATAATTTTTAAGGTAAATTTTTATTTGGTTTGACTATATTGATCAATTTAATTGGAGATCTTTTTAATGTAAATTTATTTTGGTTTGACTATACTTGTTTTGGAGATCTTTTTAATGTAAAATTATTTTGGTTTGACTATACTTGTTAACCACTGTACCCAAATCTTGTATTTATTATTCCAACAATGATCTTGTATGAACTATTATAAATACTAGAAAGTGATGTATCTATTATTTCAACGATGATTTTGTATCTCAAAAAAATGAATTATCTCATATTTTTTATGTTGATTATTTCTACATCTTTTAAGCTAAATGAAACTTGTGACAATAATCGTGTAGTAATTCAAAACCAACTCGGTGCGGGTAGAATTCTGGAAATTCATTGTCGTTCTAATAAAGTCGATCTAGGCATCAAAACTTTAAACTCCAGTACGACATCATACGTCATTGAATTCCATGATGAAGTAATCAAAAAAACAAGATGGGCATGTTTTCTTAGACAAGGGCCTAACATGGAGTATTTTTATGATGTTGAAGTATACAAATCGGGTCTTAAACTTATTCCTGCATGTGGTCAGCTACGCCTATGGGTAGCAGAAGAAATTGGGATATATTTTTCAAGAATAGAGACAGAAGCGCCGGTTTTGGCATTACGATGGAAAAAATGATAATTTCCTTTTCTTTATCCTAAAACTTATCCAGTGTTTATGTGAGTGGTCTTTTATGTTTTATGAACCAAGCCATAGAGGCTAAATGGCAATCTTATTTTGATATAATATATAACAAAATATCATAATAAAATATGAGTTTATTTAATATCTATGTTATATTTTTTTTTGTGCAACATGTTTTTCATTCATCAAACTTTGAAATTACCCGGAATCATAATGCGATACATGAAAGTATTAGACACTAGAGCATAAAAGATAACATAGTTATACGACTGCGAATCAAAGAAACAATCTTGATGCGTCGGTTGAGAATTCACGGCTAAGTCGGAAGACATAATTTTAGTCGCTTTGACTCGCGACTTTAAAGGGTTACCCATTCCTCCGAAATTCGTCAAGACGAAGTCGGTTGCATCTTCTAGCCCCACATAGAAAGCTGCACAAAATACAAATCGATACGGATATACAGAGGTTTTGGTTCCGAGAAGGACCTTCCTCTCCATGAGAGAAGAAAATGTGGGATGGTTCTCTTCCCGAATGGGAAAGAGTATGGATGAGATCTCTCCCAAAGGGAAGAAATTACAAGGTTTGAAAACCCAGAAAACTTTGTGCTTCGCAACAAAGAGAAGCCAATTTGCTTCTAAGCAGATGAGACTTTTGAAACTCTTAAATAAAGATCACTATATACCTTCATAGGATGTATAGCCCATGTCCACCCGCAAGGTTTCGTCTCGGTCAACAACATTAGCTTGTTCAAAACGGTGTAGATTTTCGGTTGATCATCGGAGATGTCGTCATCGCAAGCGAGGAGAAACATCGGAGCGGAGACCAAGACCGGATAAAGTGACGCATTTTCACCTTCGGGAACGATTTGTCGGGAAGATGCCGGTGAGGGATTCGTCGATTCTTTTAATGAGGAATTTTTAAACTCTTTGTCAAAGAGTCCCTATCTCAGAGATTTGAAACCAGACCTGGAGAGCCCAAGCCATCATCCCAGGTTTTTAATTCACGAAACTTAATGGCAAACGATACCTCTGATATGCTGCAAGTAGGCCCGATGGATCTTACTGGGCTCACCAGGGCCAATAAGAATGAGAGGCCCATCCCAGCTTGTTGCACATTGTTGCCGGAGATTCTGAGTTGTTGGAGGATGGAGGTGGAGCGGCTGGTAGAGGACATAGAAGGTCGGAGAATCAGCTTGAATAGATTTTTCTTAGAGAGGTAGATGGTTCTACAAGAAGTCTCGTCGGTGGCTAGCAAGAGAGGAGAAGGCAGTAGATCTGGTTGAGGCAGATCTCGTCCCAGATCTCTCCTTGACTCGAACAGGTAAATCCCAGTTGTCAACATCGGAGTCGACGATCTTACAAAGTCTTGCTTGAGGGCGATGACGCTGGTTGTTTGGGCTTCCAATGGAATGTTTACTGATGAGCGATGGAAGCCATAAGGGGAACAAAAGCAGAGCAAACTCAAACGGAGTAGATCTTCGGCTATGTCTACCGAGAAGGGAGTATGGACGGTGAAGTAGCAGGATGTCTGCATACTGGAGAGATGGTGGTGGATGGCGGAGGATTCTCGTGCGATGGGCTGGGTTATGGACCAGCGAAACATAGATCTTCGATGTTGAAAAGAGAGTAGATCCGTACCATAAAGCACAAAACGGACAAAACAGACCAGATGAAGAGAGACGAAACGACAGAGGAGCAAAAGGTATGGACCACCGTCCGACGCCGGCGAGCAAGAGCTCCACCGGCGTTTCTTGATTTGAGTTTGTAATTGACCCCAAATTTGAGCTTTGTGAGTTATGTCTATGTTATCTATGCAATGGATTATACGATGCATCTAGAAGCTTGTTCCTGATGAGAGCTAGCGCACATTTAGTTTTGTTGTTCTGAGACCAAGAAGAAGGGAAACCATTGTTGTTCTTCTCGTTTATGTTTTTCTCGATCGCTTGTTTCTC